TGTTTTAAGTTTCACAATAGTTTCGGGATCCTCACGAAGTAGACGTTGAACATAGCATTCCACCAGATTGTACTGCTCCCGTTGCCCAATGATTGTCTCAGCACATACTGCTTCCTTTGCTTTTTGATCTGTAGTGTGCGGAATGTCGACACCAAGTTTTTGGTCTAGTAACTGCTGAGCATCATTTAAGGAGCCTTGCTGCTCACTGTCATGCCTTTGCGAAGCTGCTACTCCAAAAATGTGTGCTCACGCTGGAATCCCCGAGATTTCTTGAGTGATCACTGGCATGAACGCTGATCTTGCACCTGACTGATACAATAATGTTGTTTTTTTGTGAAATGATCTGCGGGCGTATGCAGGACAATCGTCGCCTTTGCACTTCAGTTAGGACCCGATTTTGTTTCTGTCGGCACCGTGTAGCTGACGTAATCTTTTGCTGCCTTTGATCGAATGGCCATCAATTCTTCATTTATAGGAGTGAAAGATTGTTCTGTTAAAGCTGGCACGTCGAAAGTGATGGTTTGTGGCATGACAGTTGGTCAAGGATCCTGTGGAAGAAGGAGAATTAGAGCAATGGTAGGGGTGATTTTGAAGGTAAATGTCTCGGAAATGATCTTTCGAGACTGCGAGGGGAACTTAAGGGGGCTTCCTTGCGTCACTCACTAGGCTCAGATCAAACAAACTTAAAGGTGTCCTATCCTGTGAATTTAAAAGTGTCCTTCTCTACGAATTTGCGATTAAAAACGTCCTATTCTGTGTAATTTCCCTTTTTTAAATTGATCCTTGTCAGTTCACTTATTAACACACAGCGCAATCCGGTTATCAGTCGCCAATCACATTATAAAGTTAGTCGATTATGCAGAATACATCTAGCTCTATTGCTTAAGTAATTACATCAAAGAGCTTGTTTTTAAGCTTGGTAGGGATCTTGCATGGCAAGCTTGGCGACATGTTTATCTGGCCAGGTCGACTGCGTGTTCACGAATTAAAAGGTGGGCACCTGTAAATCTCAAATTAAATCAAAAAAGACTCGACTGACTGTTACATTAGTAAAATTATTATGTGAATTTGTAAAAGCATTTACCGTATTTCAACAAAAAGTGTATTGTGAGTTGAGTTAAATTTTGCGCATTCAGATGCTGAAATTAGGTGAAAATGCTAGGGGTGAGCTTTTTATGTGTGATAATTCTGGAATAGTCGCCAAACATGATGATAATGAGACTGTCGATTGGCTCCTACGGCTTCAAGATTTATAAAACATCGTAATCCTCTCGAGGACTCATGGAGATGACTCCTGTCGCCTAAAGTGGCTGTTATGAACAGCTGGCTAATCGATGAAGGCGTTTTGAGCTTTTCTTGCAGCTTGTCAAAGAAGAAGAAGAAGAAAAAGCCATCGTTGCGATCCCTACCCTGCTGTCTTCAAAAAAAACTTTTCTGCTTGAAGCTGATGCAGTAGAAGTTGTCGGACAATCTGTACCGTCTGCTGGTGTGTCACGTGTTTCTGCATTGAGATAATTGGATTCGCTGATTCTAGCGCATATTGATGCTAACCGAGTAAGCAATTAGCCAGTCCGTCTAAATGTCCGGTCGATGGCGTCTGCGGCACCGAGGAACCCGCTCACGATGCTCGCCTGCACCCGCGAAGGTAGGAATTTTACCGGTAAATTTAGCGCAGCCTGTTAGTGCCGAATAAGGTGAGCGTCCAGAATCAACGATTTATTCCACTGGGCTTTTATGTGTATCTAGCAGAGCTATGAGTTAACTCGGTCGCAAAGGATTAGCAGAAGGTCCTTGCGCGGCCGCTTGCGGGTATAATGTTGGTTGCACGCGAATTCCAGATTGAAAACCCAAAATTTCATTTTTAAGTGATGCATCGCTAGTTAACAGCACAGGCAATCTTTGTGTTCCGTGAGGAAATGGATGTGCTCCCAGAGCTGCATCGGCAACTGAGTTACAGGAATTTATTCGCCTGCTTAAGTTAATTTTTTTGCCTTGGAGTCTTGCTAGCACCGATGTGGGCACCGAAGCTAAATTTCGTTTATCTTGACTGAAAGGCTAACGTTGCGACCCGCTGTATACTTGTATCTTGTTCACTGTTGGTCGGATTCCCCACGAGCATTATTTTTCTTCCGCGAGTGCTCCATCGGATTCACGCTAGGTTTAAAGCACTTTTTGACAATAGACCGACCGTTTGATCATAATCATCGTAAGTGTTATTTTTCACCTTTGAAGAATGATGCTGACGCGATTATAACCTAGGGAGTTGAGCTGCTTACTGCCAAGACCACTCGGACTGATCGGTTTTCACTACAATCAGTTGAGGTCCAAAGACCTGTTTCGAAGCGTGAGCTGGCCGGTACACAACTGATTTCCTTCACTCGGAGATACCGGGCTCATCATGAGTATAACCATTTCCCATTTCCCTAAATTAACCATCGTGTAAAAGTTCCCCAAGTCAGTACACGGAAGGGTGTTCCGATGTATCAGCATCACCACCCGCATAATTCGTGACCTCTTGAACCGACGGGACGTAAGCAGCGAGTAGGTTTCTGTTATCAGAGTACATTCTCTGTCATTTCCTATCCAAGGAATCAAATTTTAGCGACAGGTTTCTACAACGCATAGTGCTCCAGCATGTACACGGCTGCAAGCATAATTATTTCTTCGTAGTATCGACAACGTAAATCTTCCTCTTCCTGGTAGCAACGAGGTTGTCGTTAATTGCTGAAATGATACGCGGTAAGGCTGGTGAGAAGTCCATCTATCTTTCGGCTAAGTATAGTTTTAATTTATGCCTCCATTCGTATTTACGGTGCGGATAGTAAAATATACCGTGAAATCGAGGAATTAACAGGGCCGGAGAAAAATGCCAATGCACTAATGCCTTATTATATTAAAATGTGAAGTCTGTTCAGGCACATAAATAAACTACTTCCTATCTTTCCTGAGAGTTTGCGTGCAAATTGCAACGTCATTCGCGATTATGCCGACCCACACACACCCTCCGCAGCGAGGCGTATACACCAATCCTACATCCACCTTGTGCCTGCTGTCAGCCTTTAATGTAAAGTAATGTTATAACAAATTTTCTATAAATTATAGCAGTTCCGCTTAATGACCGTTGTAGAATCCTAAAGACCTCTAGAGAAAAGGAACCACAGGGGCCGTAATTGCTACATCGTGACAACTGTAGAATGCTAGTTGTTACGCTGCTCGAAATGCTGGTCGGTGCGTCCAACCGTTACTTGACAGTTTGGACACACCACGCCCAATTCGCTGCAACGAGACCCCCACTCTTCACCTGATACCCAAGATACTATATCGTGTTATTATGTCAAAGCACGTGGATCCTTTCAAATTGCTTAATCTTTACCGTAGTTCTCAGAGACATTGACACGCTTTTCGCCGGCCAAACGATTTTTTCAGAATTCTACCTGGAACGACGTAACATGTTCATGAACAGCAAAAATTGCTTTATTCTTTGCAACAAGACCGTCGAATGGACTGCAAAGCCTGAGAATTTTTGCTCGTGGTCCAGAAATTTATTATTAGTGTAGACCACGAATTCGCGAATTTCGGATTTCCGCGGTGGCCAGAACCTCCGCCTCGAGAAGAAACAGGCGTGTTCCTAGAAAAAAACCGCTAGGGACCCCATGTTAGGACAAGTTTGGGGTCTAAAAGACACATTATACTGATGCTTGTGCGTGCCATCATGACGTTGGTATAACATTGTTTTAAATGGTGTGACAAAATCAGAGATCTGAAAAACTTAAATTTCATAAAGTACTCAAAATATTTGTCATAAGCCTTACAGAATTCCAGCCGCAAATAAACTTTCTATCTTTCACTTACCGACTTGGTACGTGAGAATCCTTGTTTAAACGCGCCATCAAATCATGACCATCTTGGCCATTTTTCTTTCGTGCACATAGTTTTGTGTGTATCTTGAATGAAATACCTACATCCCACTGGTACCCTGTGTGATATTACTACCGTCGAAAATACTTTGTATCACGATTACACAAAGGCGCATAATCTGGTATCAAAAGCGTACTGTGAATTTCCTTACTAGCGAAGTAGGTTGATCGAAACTTGCAGAAAAGAGGCGGAAGGAGAGAGCGACCCTGCAGAAATTCTATGCCTTATCTAAAGTGTGCCCGGCCGGCAACCCTTGAAGTCCGTATCTGGCCCTTTTTGGTGATTGAGCAACAAATTGGTTTTAAGGCCCTCGTATAGTGTGATTTCGACCAGCTCAAGTGCATTAATGTAACGGGCTAGCCCGTTACACCAAATTGATACTAAACGGTGTCAATTGGAATCTTGTCTAACATGACAATATGCTACCTATATTATGCGAAATGGATAACTTTGAAGGAATATTATCCCCTTTTGGATAATATTCATTCGCTGCTTCAAGATTGGTTGAGATAAGACATATCAACCATAGACTGCAACCAATCGCTGCTAGACGCGCGCAATGAGTGGTGAACAGCTTATCGTCATACGACGGCGTAGCTTAATAAAGTTTGATAAAGATTATAGTTGTGTTATCAGCTTGACTATATTAAGTTCAGTTCTCTTTTTTTCCCTTTACTTAGCTTAAACATTGAGTAGACTGGCTTCCTCCGCACGTTCTAGTGCACGTGAAGTTTCGTGGCACCCCAAACAAACGGTGCCTTGTTACACCTGGCAGCACGTTGTAGTCCGTCCAACGACTTCTTAGTGTCCATCCAACATGAACAAGTTGGACGTAGAATACGACAGCTTTCACGTCACATGTCAAGGCTACTCAAATCTGAGTGACTCAGAATGGGAGGTAGGCGGCCGCATGAGTGTGCTCATGGGCGAACTCGCCATCAGTGCTATGTTGGTGTCTCCAAGCAAAGACCAGCAGCATGATGTATCAACAAGTTCCTGCAAGGGGACTTGCCATCGATAGACAGAAGGATGCCTTGCTACAACAGCAAGGCTCTCATCAGTCGATGGGTAGGCCGACGCACATGCGTCGACCCGAAACCTTGAAGATAGATATCTCAAGGTACAAGGGAGCCGATGAAGACTCTGTTTTGAGATGGTTCGTTGAGTTAGACGATGCCATCAGGGCCCGTCACATCGAGGGTGACGAGATACAAGTCACCTTCGCCCTGTCAAATTTGACGGGACAAGCAAAGACTTGGGCCTTAGGGCTCAAACTTCACGAACCAAACGTGTCTGAGTCGTTGGAGATCTTAAAGGCTCGGCTCAAAGAGACTATTGAGCCGCCGAGAGCTGAGTCCAGAGCACGCTCTGCACTGTTGAGGCTCAAGCAAGGTAAGCGTGACGTGCACGCTTACGCACAGCACCTACGCTACCTTGCAATTAGCGTTACGGAGAACCCTGCTGATGAGCCCACGCTCATCAACGTGTTCATCTACGGTCTTGTAGATGGACCGCTGAAGACCTACATGTTCCGGGAGGACTTCCATACGCTGGAAAAGGCGATAGCGTATGCAGAACAAGAAGACTTCAGCCTGAGACAGTCTGAGGCGAACTCGTCAAACTATCGTCCTAGAGACGACAAGAAACAGGAGGTCCGAACAAATGGACATCTTTTGCATCAAGAGCGTGAACTCTCGCTCTCTGAGTCACAAGCGAACGGCAAGATGCCATCGCTGTCAGAAGATTGGACACTATGGTAATGAGTGTAGTGTCCCGAGCACCACATCGCGTCCTAAGACAGGACGTGATCACCGCCTATGTCCAAGGAAATGTCCAAGGCGTGGGTCCGATCATGTAGCTAAGCAGCAACAGCAAGTCGGACCGTCAAAAAATGGACAGGGTCAGTAGGGGCGGAGCACCCTGCTGATCCAGCAACGTCAAGAGAATTTGCCGGACGCTTGACGAAGATTGCTTCCAACACACAGTCGCTGTGTGTGACTGCCCCTGTTAATGAGGTCTCCCTCATCGCTTTGTAGATCGAAGTGACAAGTGGAATGTCACTTCGCGCCTTGGTTGACTGTGGGGCGTCGAACAGTTTATTCGATGCCAGTCGCTAGGGGATAGTAGGCTCAGATTTGCCGAGCAAGAGTTCCCTACAACGAGGATGAAGGTGTGCCTTGCGACAGGCGCATTCTTAACATTGTATAAACATGTAGTGAGAATCCACTACACGCTAGAAGGAAAGCAGTACGACAATGACTTTGTCGTACTAGATTTAAATGACAAATTTGATGTCATCTTCGGTCTGCCATGGCTTTAAAAATACCAGCCACGGAATAGCCAGCAGCATCGATCTGTGAAGGTGCCTGCCGTTTATTCATCAGATGACTATCTGATGAACGTCTTGGAGCGTCCAAAAGCGTGTGGAAGTACTACGAGTGAGTGCGATAGCCTCACTTAAGGTACAGTGGTTAGTGTGACTGCACAAGATCACAGTGTAGAGGCCACTACACTGTGGAAACAGCTTCCGGCACTTGTGTAGAAACACAGGCTGCGCCGAATGTTCACCACTCGAAGAGATCGAGTGAATTGGAACGCGGATGCACATCAAACAGGGTGCATCCAAGAAAAGAGGTTGGTGTTTTTCAGGATGAACAACACGTTACAGCGAGATCGAAGAAACGAGAGTCAATCGTAGAGCAAGCCCGGTCGACTGAAAGAGGGTCGATCGATGAGGAAGTGACTGTGGTAGTGCACCCACAGTTAGCACACGTATTGGAAGAAAGTTCCAGCGTTCCTGAGAGCAATAACTCCCGAGAGATTTTTGTTGATGGTGTAGATCCCCAACCACCTGCGGATGTGTTTTTCCAGGAAAGCACCGAGACAGTGATTGTCTTGGTGAATGACGGATCTAGTGTAGGCGCTTATACACTTGATCTGTTTACACCCCCGAAGTCAGCTTCGAAGGTAGTCAAGTTGCTAACGCTATAATACAAAAGATTCTTGCGAGATCTGCGTAGCGCCAAGATCAAGCAGATCTGCGTACTCGTCCCAGAAGACGAGTACGTAGCCGATATTCGATCGGCACAAGTGTTTGCTGAGAACGAATGGGTTCTTAGTAGCTCATATACGGACGAGCGTGTCCTCGATGAGAAGGCTCGGATTGAGCGACACACGTCTCGATATTGAGAGTCCTTGAAGACAAATCATTTTTATTAAAGCTTTGGTTGAATTCAGGGATGTTTTTCCTGAATCCGTGCCATGCGAGCTGCCAAAGGACAAAGGCAATCGGCATGAGATCAAACTGAAACCTGGTTCGAAATAGCGTAATGAAGCAGTGGCCACTGCCCCGTGAACAGGTAACAGCGATCGAAAAACTTTTTGCCGATCGTCTAGCGGCTGGTCAGGTGAGGGAATCAACTTCTTCACACAGCTATACGATCTTTCTGTGTGCAAACGGCCAAAGGAGGGTGGCGGATAGTGCACGCGTTCAACAAATTGAACGCTGCAACGGTACCGGCTCAAACGCCGATCCCAAGGAAGGACGTCATCATTGATGGTATGGCAAATAGTATCATCTTTTCGTCCGTGGATCTGATCGATCGATTCTATCAGATCCTCATGCGTGAACGGGATATCCTTACGTAGCAGTGAGCACCCCAAGTCTAATTCCCTAGGAGTGGTTAGTGATGCCACAGGGGCTAAGTAACGCCCCCGAAACGTTTAACAGATGTGTTACAAACCTGTTGCTATCGGTGCGCAATTTTGCACCGATTTACTTCGACGATGTCTGTGTTCGTAGCCGGGCTATGGATGGAAAGACGGACGTGGAGGTTCGTAGAATTTACGTCCGTAAGGATCTTACGCTAATGCGAGAGCATGAGTCGTTCGCGAACCTCAAGAAGTGTTTATTCGCAGCAACCGAAACAACACTTCTTGGCTGCATCGTGGGTAAAAACGGTGTACGCCATGATCCGGAAAATATTAGGGCGATTAGCGACTTGTCCTGTGCCGTTCTAATCCAAGGGACTTCGAAAGTTCCTTGGCTTAGTGTCGTACTTGCACAAATAATCGCGCAACTATGCCGAGATGACCGTTCATCTCTCTCATCTACTAAAGAAAAAACGAGAGGTGGTCATGGAGTGCTCAGTTTCAGCACTCTTTTGAAGGCATCAAGAAAAGCTTGGTGCAATCGCCTGTGTTGGCGATTGCAGGTCAGGATATACCATTCCGGGTGGTCTGTTACGCCAGCGTTTTTGCAATCGTCTGCGCGTTAATGCAGTATGACTCAGACGGCGTTGAGAGCGTCGTCTGTTACCAATTGCAGCAGCTGCAAGAAGCTGAACGTAATTTCCCGGTGCATGACAAGGAACTCCTTGCCATGAAATATGCACTGGCCAAGTTTCGGGTATATCTCTCAGGAGATAGGCCCTTCATCGTTTATACCGACCATGCGTCGTTACGCACGGCCGTAAACTGTTCCCACTTCTCGCAACGAATGGCGAGGTGGCTGTCTTTCTTGGCGAATTACAACTTCTCCGTCAAGTGTAAAACAGGACGACTTTATGTCGTCACTGATGCTATTCTGCGTCGGCCCGATTTTGAGCCGACCACTCAACCCAACAGTAGGGGTGTTCCCAGTGTTGTGACACTATCAGTGGTTGTTCCGTCGTCGAATATGCTGGACGACGTGCGAAAAGCATACGCAGAAGTTAAGTCTCTTGTGCGATTGATGAATCACGTATCCAATCCGTGTAATCAAGCTTTGAAAAGTTGACGTCTCAATACCGCTCTTCAACAGAACGGTATTCGGTTCAAAATGAACTTCTGTACAATTCAGCAGTCAACGGCGACACAGGTCGTGTCTTCGTTCCGAATCACAATGGTTTGTGACTGTCCATCATGAATGAGTGTCACGATGCCCCAACAAGTGGGCATCGCGGTAGAGAAGAGACTTACCTCATGGTGAGTCGTGACTTCTACTGGCTTCGCCAGTATGATTTTGTGTGCAAATAACTTCGCGCTTGCGAAGTTTGTCAACGGGTGAAGCCTAGTCCTTCATCCCGTGCACCGTTGCAGCCTCTACCGATTCCGGCAGAGTGCAGTCGGTCCGTATCGATGAGGTTCTTCCTTGGGTTTCCTAACGACGCTCTCAAGAATACTGGTATTCTTGTGTTTGTTGATCAATTCAGCAAGATGGTACATCTTGTTGCTTTACCGAAGTCAGTCACAGCCCAGGGCTATGCGCGTGTCTTCATCTATACTATCTTCCGACTTCACGGGTTATTTCGTGAACTCGTGTTTGAAAGGGACCCCCGCTTCACAGCGGAGTCCTGGCAATCCGTGTTCCGTTCACTTGGAACACGTCTGACGATGTCGACTTCTGCCGTACCGAAACAGATGGTCAATCGGAACGCGTCAACTGCGTTCTCGAAGAGATACTCCGAGGGAATGACCACTCGTTTACGAGCTGGAGTGAGTTCTTGTCGACGGCGGAATTTGCCATCAACAACTCAGTGCACGCGTCGACAACGCATACACCGCTCTTCGTTAATGGCCTACGCCATCCACGTTTACCCGCCTTCTTAGAGTGTGACTCTAGTTTATGGAGGGGGTGGACTCGCTCGAACAAAATTCGATCTGTTTCTTGCTCATCGCACGTCGACAATGGTGTCTATGTGATGGATGCTAATGTCGATGGGATCGATGTCGATGATGACGATGACGACGATGCTGGCATATTCAGCATCGCCAATGACCGCCAAAGTGAGGAAGATATTACCCTCACTGGTGAAGACAACGTTCTTTCAGCAGTGCACACGAAGCGCATTGCTGTTGACAAGGATGAATCAGCACAGGAATTTCTGCTGACTTGTTAAGCGGTTGTCTGCTTCGTTCAACAATCTATTGCAGATGCACTAGACAGAAGAAGAGAAACGAAGACAAACATGGAAGAGAAAAATGTGATCTTCCATTTGATAAAGGAGACCAAGTTTACTGTCTACAGTAAACATACCGAAACACGCGGTGACAAACGTGGGCAGCAGTAAATTACTGCCATAGTACATCGGTCCATTTCGTGTGTTGCGCCGAATGGGCAACGCACACAAGATTATACTTTCCGTAAGATGCGTACGCATTCTACGTTTTACGTCAGTCGTATCCGCCTGTACTATCAGCACGATCCCGTTTCGAGATGCGAAGGACACTTCCGCGGTCGAAATCCGAGACCACCTACGAGTAGTCCCGTTTCAGCGGGCCAGTCTGGTCGACTAGCGAAGCGACCTGTTCACGCGGTTGAGCGATTTCTTGACGATCTGCAGCCAGCTAGTCACGAAGAGAACGAATCGAACGTGTTCCTCAAGTTGTGCAAGCGCAAACGCGGCACGATCGTCTGAAAGATCGTGCGCTAAAAAAATGTAGTCATCCCTCACAAGATCATGGAGCTCATAACGCCAAGTCCGTTTATGAACATGGTCACCTTGCAAATGTTCCGATACACGGTTCAGCTCTTAAGCATCAAGCTGATCCGACCCTCGAGCCGAATCAGGTGTTCCCGCCGCCACCACATACTTTGGTGGACTCTGGAGGTGGTCAACGCTTCCTAGTGGAGCGTAATTTGAACCAAAGCGACGTGAATGGCGTCCGGACAATCTACCTCGTCTGCTGGCGTGGCTATCCACTGGCGTGGGACTGCTGAGAGCCTCGTGCCCAGCTGATTGTTGATGTCCTTGGTCGTGTCGAGCAATATGACGAGACCCACCCGCTGCGTTCGAATAAAAGCTGCCAAAAACGACCTTTTCGAACACGAGTACACGAATTGCAAAATGTCAATCCATGCGGCCATCTCAAAAGAGATACACGCCCTCCGGTAGGGATCATTAGGGAGGTGGGCCTACCTAGGGACACGGTTTGAGTTGTCCAGGCAACCTGGACACGAATCACCCCACGAGAGACAGGGTAATCATGTGCTTCTTAGCAGCTGGTACAACTTGTGTCGCACCCCAACTGGGCTTCTCAAACCTATGCAAGCTTCATCAAGTTTATTGATCCAGGCCTCACGGCCAATGCCCTAGAAGTTATGGATGAAGGCATTCCATCTTTGCACTGAGGCCTTACCGCCTCGGCAACGTTTACCATTGATGTTTGAAGAATGCATCAGTGAAAAAATCTTCATCATCACGAATAATGTCCGTGCTAGAATCAGGAGGACAGAACTTCCTACAATCGAACAACAGGATTCGATCTCGATCAATAGTCATGCCGGAGAACCGGTACAACTCCTTGGATGACGGCATCCAAGGAGACTCTACTTGAGGAGCCTTGCGCAGGACATTGCGGTCCCTAGCCTTTGTGTGTTGTCAGCATGAGCACTGACACCAGTGACACCTCGATCCCTCGAGTCAATTCGTTCGTGTGATGTAGAGGTGCATCACCACCATTACCACGCGTCCTACATGTGGATGGACTCGTGCAAGGCCAGGATTCGTCGGAACAATCGCTCGTTTTAAAGGTCTCGGACATGACACCGCCATGTTCCCCAGAGCCAGTCAACCTAGCTCTATCAGTGTCCGTCCCGGATAATCTGAAGGCGTGAGGTGTTGCCTTCGAGTCGGATACATCATCCGAATCGCCAGAATAGATGAGCTCTATTTTAGACTCATCTTGTTTACGACTCGTGGTACCCGCCGCAGATGCAGCGGATGTACCTGTCGCACGTGGTGACTCACCACGTGGACTGTTCACAACAACAGGCGACGAATCACCTGCTGCTGAGGTGTGTGAAGTACTCTACTCAACTGCACGTATGCGTGCAGCCGCCCTTCTTGCTGCTGCAGTAGCAACTCGCTTGGGTTGTGAAACCATGCGTTGAATTGGCAAATGATTGAAATTTGACCAACAATTGCTCCCTTTTCCAGAGTGATCCAACGGTCGTCATCCTGTCTCAATCAATTCTATTCCATAAACGGGAGATTGATGGTTAATGGGGGTGGTGGTGTAACGGGGTAGCCCGTAACATGATATTGACACCAACCGGTGTCAATTGGAATCTTGTCTAACATGACAATGTGCTACCTGTATTATCCAAGATGGATAATACTGAAGGAATTATGTCCTCCTTTTCGATAATATTCATGCACTGCTCCAAGATTAGTTGAGATAAGACACAGCAACCATAGATTGTCATTAATTGCTGCTAGATGCGCGCAATGAGTGTTGAGCAGCTTATCGTCATACGACGGCGTAGCTTAGTATAGTTTGACAAAGATCACAGTTACATTAATAGCTTATATATGTTAAATACAGTTCTCTTTTTACCCTCTTCTCAGCTTAAACGTTGAGTAGACTGGCGTTCTCTGCACGTACTGGTGTACGTGAAGTCTCGCGGCACCCCAAACAAAGGGTGCCCCGTTACAGCTAACACTTGCGGACAGAACGCGCTTTGCCAAAAATTAAGTACATTCTGTAAGGCGTGACGGACTGCTGGCGATTGTACAGTATGGTGAGTTGAACTCAGGATCGGTTGCCTATGGTCGCAAAGTTATTAGCACCGTATCCACCGTTTAAAAAACAAGGTCCGTTCATCTGTTAAAGCACTGAGATAGATTGATTACATTATTTGTTAGAAACCGTCTAAGGGGCCACCTATTACTTTTTACAGTACATTCTATTGTAAGCCTTTTCTGACGGTCAAGTCGGTCCGACTATCGTCCTGTATGATTTGAAAAATGTTTTTGCGCACCAATAGAGAAGCCTGGTCCTTAGACTGAACTTTTCGTCGTGTTCTACTACTCCGTTACAACTTTCGCTTCTTGACTCGCTTAGTGCATGCTTAGAAATAATCAAAAGCATTTGCCTAGGTTGGCGCGGTAACGTCGTGTATACTCCTTTTATCAATGATCTCGTTCACTATGAAGCGGCCACCTAATTTAATTCTCTTACAAAACCTTGCACTACTGACCGTGTATGATGTGTGCGTTTGACTACCTCACGTATGCCTACATTTTAAAGGAAGAGTCATTCGCTGATTATGAACACTCAGTAAAGGAAAAAAGTAGAGCTGTATCCAGTATGGGTAATCCTGTTTATAAATCCCTATGTGACTTCAGTTAATTAATTCCAAATGCAAACATGTATTGTAACCATCTGCGACCTTCTGTCGTGGTTGATTTTTTATTAGATGATGTTTAGGTCCTATTTCAACCAAAGAGCAGTGTATTGCATACGCGAGACAACATAATCTATAATCATAATATTGTGAGCAAATCATGTTTAATCTAGCATAAGGTTCGAGCGTGACAATTACTCGATGTAAATTGTCATGTATCGGAGGGACCCCGATAAAATAACCCCCTCAAAATCACTCACTTAAGTGATCATTGGAATCAAAACTGCATTTTGTGGCTCTGGGGAAAAGAAGAATTTGTTTACCGATCCAACCACTCTATGTCCCATCGCATTATTAAACAGGTCCATGCCGTTCACAGCCAAAGCTACTAAAGCGCATCCTTAAGACTCTTTTCCACTGTCGCTGGAAAATTAAGATCCTTTTAGGCAGCAGATTTAAGTTCGTCTGCTGCTATCGCGACTTTGCCTGCAGCAGCGCATGCTGCAGGCTCACGTGGTGATGCACCGCACGATTTTTCAAAGATTAAGAGTTTTAGCTCGTATTTTCTGGCGAGTATGACAGTGATATCGACACGATGAAGGCTAAGGCCAATATTGAAATCAGTGCGGCTAAACCAAAGCCGACTGAACCGTTTTATGGAAGCGTTTGAGCCTTGATAGTCGTCGTTACACCTTTAATTCGTCCGACGAATAATAATCCTCCGTTTCTGAGACAGAGTCGTTTATCTTATTGCGATTGAGTCCACCGGAAATTTTTGACATTTATGCGATCTTGCATCAGTGTCCAGGTGACCTGGGTGATCCTGGTGTTTGCTCTTTGCTCCTGAGGAGAAGCCGATGCTTACTCTTCAGATAGGGTTGGTCACTCTGTCTGACATGACAAGAGCGTTCACGAATAAGACTAATCGATTTTTTTAGGCGCAACAATCCCGATCTTAGTGCGAATAACAATCACCTGAACACGTATTCTTTACTTATGCGTTCCTTTAGCTTCGATTGTCTATTTGGAATCAAAAGACTGGCGGTCCCTCGTTAGTTTAGGCTTGAAACTCTTACATCTTCAGCGTTTAGAAATTGGGCAGGATGCCTGGCTAGACAAGATATTGTTTGCTTGGATCAAGTTTATAAGCTGACATCTACCGGTGCAAGATTCAAACTGCATCGTTTATCAAGAGAAGCCGATCTACCATGTTTCTCTTGGGGTTAAACGTGCCAACGTCGCGTGAATAACTTGGTACGAGCTCCAAAATAAGCTTAATCTGTGACTGAATCCTGGTGTAGGGCTCGTATCACTCATGAGATGTACGAGGGAAGAGCTAATTTACAATCCCTATACAAGCGTTCCTCGATTGGCCTCCTTCGGCATCGGATGCACCTTGTCGTATTACTCGACAAGGCCCAAAACATCAACCAGTAGTTTTTAGCGAGGGTTTTAACTATCCACCGAGGGTGGATATCGCACCACCAGACGGGGCAACTCATCCGGCGTCCCTTCAAATCACGAAGGTTCAACATGCGTCCCACAAGTAAGTATTGGCCACCGCGCGCACCAGTCAATGGATGAGCCGGATGAGATAGCACGGAATCAAACATATTTGAAGGGTCAGATTAGATTATTGAGTCAGGTTAAGCGCTTAAGGAGTGGAATGTGCAAGGACCTCTAGCCCGAGAGTTGGAGACGTCTGAGTCTGGACGACAAGGTGAAGCGTCTCTTCTTGGAACTGGAGAGAGATTTCGGTCATATTTTTCTTTGACAAGCAAATTGAACGGGCGAGTTGGGCGTTCTCTTCGTGAGGAGCTAATGGAAGGTCTTCACTACATCTATCGTTTCGCGGGGAGAAATCCAAACTCTAGACACGGGCTCATTATCAGCACCGCGAGCACAAGTCTCTCTTGGAAATTCTTGAGCGCAAGGAATTTTTTTCACTGGAAGAAACTACATGCTAGTCAATAGGCTCACCAAAGTCGATGTGATCGACATCAGCGGCATATATAGCAACCTCGTGGTCAGAAAGTAAAAAGTGAAAGCCGATTAAGCGCTCGCTCGAGTAAGTCTGTACCCGCACTAGCTAAAGTTAAACTTTAAAGGTGGATAGGCGTTAATAGCGCAAGCCATTCACGTAAGACGGTGTGTGCGTCGTCGACGCAAGCACAGAAATTCTAACGGCGAATTTTTACTATTGGTAAGAATTCGCTTCAATTCGTAAATGAATGAGCTTCACGTGAAGGAGTATTTCAGGAAAACGGTCGGCACGTTCTTTCTGATGTC